ATACATGCATATATATGCTGTGACTGAAATGTGATGACATTAGGGCATTAATGACCGATGAATCTATGAAAAATATCACCAATAACACAACATATTTCTTCACAGAGAAAATTTATGAAATTCTCTGGACCATACAGTTGTTTTGACCAATATTTATTTCAAAATTTTACAACAATTTGATTCTCCTTGATTCCTGCAGTCAAATATTCATTGCTGTAATCCTTAATTAGCAATCTAGTTACCTGCGTTCGCCCGTTCGTCACGCATATTTAGACCCCGTCCCGTCTACTAATCGAGACGAAAGAGGTGTCATTCGGCTCGCCTCGGGTCTCCAGGTGAAAAAATAATTTTTATCAATTCAGAAGAGATTTCTTTTACAAACTGTTTATGTTTTTTGCTTTTTTAAACAACTCAAACGCGTCTTGGGTTACTTGCGGAAAATAGAGACGTGATCAGTTGGCGCTTTTTGAACCTACACGTTCAAAGAATCTGTATTTCCTCATTTTTATACATTTTTCTGATAAAACAGTCAGGGTATAATTGTAGCTTTCCTTTATGATGGTATCTGTTAATGTAGCTGTGTGACGAAAAAAGTTCAGACAGGCGGAGTTTGCTAGTTACGGCGATGTCTGTCTCACCGAGAAACGTGGCGATTAACTAGACCCTGGGGACACCGTTAGCTGGCAAAGTCGGACAATCGACCCAAAATGCCAAAAATATTCATACATTCATACATAACTCATACTACATACATTTCTAATAAAAAACTCAGTAGTGGGAAAATAATTGAACGATACGAGGCCGTTATTACAAATTACGTACTTGGCTACGCTACCTCTGCTAACGCCTCGGGTCACAAAACGCAGACGCGTCCGTATTTGTCTTATATCTGCCTAGTGAAGTCAACAACAAACTTTCGTATAACTCCTAATTTCAGTGTCTTGCGGTGGCCGTTTTTAGTTCCAGATGAGAGTTACAAACTCCAAAGTACTTCTTCTTCATTAAGCTCATTAGGACGCAGACAAATGCCTTCTCTTTTAATCCCCTCGCAACCTGCGCAACGTCGTTGCGTCGTAGTTCCCCCAGCTCCCGCGTGTAGCGCCAGGGGCTGTGGGAGAGGTCACCGCTGGCGACAGCGTGGCGTATTTTACGCCTATAAAATATGCGCCAGTCAACCGCGGCGATGCGATGGGTTTACTGCGCGGCGTTAAAAAAAGCGGAATCTCGCGGGAATGCTTTTTTTCCCGCATTTTAAATTAAGCACCGTTGGTAAGCGTCTAACAAGGTAAGGCTGCCTCGAGGGAATGAGTTCTCCCGATGTTGCAGTGTGGGAGCTGTGGGCATGTCGTGTGCCAACGGCAGAGGTGGCTCAGGGCATCAATTAATGTCTCTGCAGTGGCTCTGACCGCGAGGTCCTAAGGTTCGAGTCCCGGCGGCGGCGAATTTTCGATTCTAGCTAGAGAGCTAGGTCGAATTCAGGGTCTAGCTAGAGGAGAATTCCAGCGGTCGGCTGCTCTGATCGATTGCTTTCCGTGGTTTCTCCAATCAATACCAGGCGATTGCCGGAGCAGTATATTTTCAAATGGGCCACGCCCCGCGTGCGATCTTTCCTTCCTCGTTCTTGCCCTCCTCTCGCCCCTTACACATACACCTAACTCTACCCTATCTTCTTACACATACACTTACACGCATTATTCTACCCCGCATGGCTGGAGACCAGTCGGGAGCTTAGTGCTGTCCCGGCTCGGGCGGTGCGGTGCCCTGCTGGTGGGAGATACGTGTTTGGGGAAAGCACCGCAAGCCGGAGTGTAGGTCGGCGCCGGATATCACCTTCCACCGGAGAAATTTCACCGTCACCTTCCACGATAAAACAAGCACTGTACGTATGGGACTAATGGAATTAGGAGTTGAGGTGCTCGTAAACACCGATCAGTCAAACCAACGGGTCGGTATAACCCCTTTGGGGTCGATGAAATTGTGCGAAAAAAAAGTATGCTAATATTCGGCCAAAAGTGTTCTTCAGGTAATCAACACAAAATAAAAATATTTTATATTTTTGGCGATGTCTATACCGATATCATAGCATAATAAAATAATTGACGGTACAGGAGTTTTTCTCTAAATACTCTAATAGCCGTGAATCATATACAATGAAATGTTTAAGTAAATTATTTAAGACTTATTTTATAAAGTGTCTAAGTGAAAATCTTATATGACGTGCGCCAGTCTCCCTACTAATAAAATTGGGCCATTTATTGGCAATCTTCCCCTCCTCTTTTTTGGCAACTTAAAACTACGTAACAAGGAAGCTCACTGGTGTTCGGAATATTCCGAGAGAATACCCCTTCTACTGGCGTTATCATGCTTATAACAGTGGTTGTGAACCATAGAAGTGAAGTAGGAAAGGGTGATTTGGGGGCAAATTCGTTTGTCGTCTTTATGAAGAAGAGCTTTCTTAAACAGAGATGATGCTTAAAATAAGTGGTCGCTTGCACAGGTCGGTATTTCAATGTAGACGTTCCTCAAAAACGAGTGAACGAAAACGTTACATCAAACGATTTTAACATTTACACGAGCTGCTTTGTTGTTGAATGGTCACAGAGTATATACAGTCAATATTTGGCGTTCAAAGAGCGTCCAGTTTGATTTGTGGAATTTCAAACGCTTTTGTCAACTTACGCTTCATACAGATTATCCAAATCTCTGAAATAGCTTTTTAATAAGGCAAATTATGTATTTCGTATTGAACTCAAAATGTACTGCGAAATCATTGCCGTCGTTTCCCAGAATAGAAATGATCACCTCGAAAAAATATACCGAAAGTAGGAAAGAGCAAACCAAATGAACGTTTAAAAGCACTGGCAACCTTCTAAGAAGGAATGACTGGTCACTTATTGGCGCATTCATTTGAGAATAAGAACCGCTTGTAAAAAGAGAACCGGTTACATACGGAATTCTCATTTTATGTGTCCACCAAGAATTCGGTCCTACGAAAGATAAATTCTATACCGAGGCTTTGGGACTCGTACCGTCATGACGTAGTTAGAAACCTCAAACTCCTCTATTGCTGTGCATTTCTTAATTTTATTTATATTATCTCGTGAACTAACTCACAAAGTCGCACTTCACGTGTTTGCATCCATGACGTCATTCCCATCTCTCTAGTCCTCGCACCTTCTTTTATTTGTGCCACGATCTCGTGTCTTAATTTGTTAGGCGTGATTCGAAAAGTGGTAAGGCGGTCGTTTTAATGGTTGCTTCTCTACGGGTCGCGAATTCACTCGAATAATATCTCTATTCTCCCGATCAGCGATTCCAGCATGTGAACGCCCCGTCTCCTTCGCCGCTGTCGATACGGTCCCTAATGTGTTTCTTAAATAAGCCGGTTAGTCGCCTTGGCGAGCGACAAGTTTGGGTTGTCGGAGTCAACGGCCTCCACGCGGTTCACTATCGTAGTTCGTTGGGCGCCATGTTGGATCAGGAAAGAGGGAGAGAGGGGGGGAGAAGATGGATGAGAAAAATTGCCGGCGGCCGATAGATACTTCTTGGGTGATGCATCACCTGGCTCTTTGCCTCGGGCGAGTCGGCGCCTACTCGAACCGCTGCCGCTGTCCCCGACGCCACCACAGTCTCCGTCAGCATCAGAGTCACTAAAAATCACGACCACCACTACCTCCACCACCACCTCCATCACGGCACAGGTGGCTAAGAGCAACAAGTGGAATCACTGCAGTGCCTGTGACCGGCAGGTCCTAGAGTCCGACAGTGGCAGGATTTTAGGCACCAGGTCGAATTCAGGTGGCAGATTTTCGATTCTAGCTAGATTGGTAGGTCGAATTCAGGGTTGGAGGTAACTGGAGGCGAAATCTAGCGGCCGGCTACCCTGATCGATAGTTTTCCGTGCTTTCTCCAATCTCAATTTCAATTTCTCCAGGCGAATGAAGGAGCAGTTCCCTAACAAAACGGGACACGCGCGATCTTTCTTTCCCCGTCCTTGTCCTATCATCTCCTCTTGCGTGTGATTACACTTTCCACACTTACATACACACAGCCACACATGCCAGGAGTCCGGTCGGAAGCATAGAGCTTGTCCCGGCTATGGCGGTACCCTGTTTGGGGGAGATACCTGTCTAGGGAAAACCCCGCTCTAGAGACAGGTTGGTCGGCTCCGGATCTCACCATTCAAGTTGGTTAACATCACCGCCATCTTCCGAGGAAAAACCATCCACTGCGCGTACGGGTCAGCTTGGCTATACAGGGTCCGGAATCATCAATCAATCAATCAATCAATCAATCAACTACCACTACTACTGCCACAATTTCCATTTCCGCCTTTTTCTTCAACACCGTTCATCACCGTTGGCCGTTGTCAACTATTACCATCCCTCATCCACCATATTTTCTCCATGACCACCGTAGTTTTAATAGAACCACCGTTCACCACAATCGTTATATGTTCACAACAACCACCATCAGCAGCAAAATATTACACCCCAAACATTCACCACTCCAATGTAATTCCGCCATCAACATCGCCAACACGCGACTCCATCGCCGTGAAGTGGAAACACGTGGATGCGCTTTCAACCTCTGGGGGCCTGGATTGACCCCCAGCCATTGCACATGGAATATGTGGCAGGCCAAATTCCTCGCGGTACGTGGCCGGTTTTCACGGAATATACCGTTTCCCTGCCTCTCATGCCACCCTTTCTTTATAATAATTCAACTGATCATCAGTATCACTATGGCTATCAACTCTTTATTCGATCACCCTGGGGCTCAATAACCGAAACAGTTGAAGGACCCAAAACCTAAGTAAACTAGTGGAGCTATACATTCTTGCACTAGTCGATTTTTTAATCTCTTTGGTCTACTTTAGCTTTCCGGTATATTCGGTTATTTTTTTCATATTTTTGGTCCCCTAATATAAGAATTTAATATATACAAACATATACCGCCGTCACCTCAACCGCTAGAACCACCGATCCCGCTAGAACCACCGCGACCACTAGAACCGCCGCGACCTTCATCTCAAACTTTTCCATATTTCCCTTGTCAGCATCACCACCATCTTCGTTTTCGCCTTTCTCCACAACGAAGTCATCTCCACCAACAAGTCTATCAGCATGACCAGCCTACCGCCAACATCATCGTAATCATCACCTCCAACAACTCTATCGCCATCACCTACCTACCACCATCATCATCACCACCTCCTACAGTAGGACTACCACTTACCACCACCCACCTTCACCGCCTCGGCGGCTGGGCTTCCACGAGCGCCGCCGTCACCGCCGCCTCCACGGCGATCACCTCCGCCGGGCGGCCTGCGCCGGCCCGACCGCATTCCGCTCCCGCCAGATATGTTTATTTTATTATTTATAACGCAGGCGCGGACGGGGACGTGGAGGTGGACGGGACGCGGGGCGGCGCGTGGAGGGATGCGGGGCGTGACGCGGAGCGGGGGGAGCGCGTGAAGGACGCGTGGCGGGGCGGCGTGTAGACGCGTGGTAAGACGCGTGGCGAGAGGCGTGGCGAGAGGCGGGGCGAGAGGCGTGGGAGAGGCGGGGCGAGAGGCGTGGCGAGAGGCGTGGCGAGAGGCGTGCGAGAGGCGTGGGGAGAGGCGGGCGAGAGGCGGGGCGAGAGGCGGGGCGAGAGGCGGGCGAGAGGCGGGGCGCAGAGGCGGGGCGAGAGGCGGGGCGAGAGGCGGGGCGAGGCGCGGGGCGAGGCGCGGGCGAGGCGCGGGCGAGGCGCCGGGGCGAGGCGCGGGCGAGGCGCGGGGCGGGCGCGGGGCGGGGCGAGCGCGGGCGGGGCGAGGCGCGGGGCGAGAGGCGGGGGCGAGAGGCGGGGCGAGATGGCGGTCGAAGCGGGAGCGGGTCGAAGCGGAGCGGGGCTGACGGGGCTAGCGAGGCGGGCATAAAAAGGCTGCGCTGGCGCCACGCGGTGACTTTAACGCGCGAGGGGGGAGACGGCCGTTGGCGCCTGTAGCGGGAGACAGCGCTGGGGAGGGAACGGACGAGTACAGTTCGCACGAGATCTCTGTGTCCTCGACGACCGCTAAAGTGCGAGCGAGACACACGAGAAGCGAGGCACTGCGCGGTAGACACATAAATGGTTGTTCAGAAAGCATCGGGTAACACCGTGCGAACTATGTCTTGGCTGGCCTGGAACTAAAGTGGTCTAAGAAACATTTTGGCTAAAATCAAGGGTGTGGTAAAGTTGATCTGAACAGGTGACTATCTATACATTCTTAAGTTATCTCTGTGTCATTTGTCGTTGTAGGTGACTCATAATAAAAGTACCACTTTAGAATTCGCAGATCGTTTTAATGTTAGTAATTCTTAAGTGGTCAAAAGTGACATTGTTATTTGTATCATAAACCACTTTAATTTCAGACTAGCCAATTGCAATAGTAGTGAAACTGCACGTCCAGAAATTTGTTGTGCATTTGTAAGTATTTTCTTTCATTATTTTATTGTGTGCTACGCAAAATGGTATGGTAATTCTGCAATGCCAAAAAGTGCTCGTTTCCATGACTTTTACTGGAGAGTTCCCTGACGAGGCCGATTGAGCGAGTCTAGAATTCCGTCGTGTCATGGAAAAATGCCACTATTTTATTCGAGACCTCAGTTTTATGACAATTTGTCCATGTGATATACAAATTTAATTGACGATCACGAGAATATACTAAGTACCTTTCTATTCGAGGGATGGTACTTATGTTGTCTTATTGTTGACTAACACTTGGATGTGAATTGATATGTTACATAGCGTTTGCTCTGGACGAAAACGAGGAATACAATCCTAGTACAATAGCCATTAAAATGAATTATTTCTGGAAATATTGAAAAATTAATAACACAGCTGTAAGTAACACTATTACATTCCCCCCACCCATAGGTAAAGCAGTGTACATCTACCTCAAATCTCACTCCATCCTAAGCATTACGTAATTTATGGAGAATTCCTTCGGCTGCCCATCATTTCGTTTTACCACATCTATGTGCGATAACTCCCGCTTTCGAAAGAATCCCGACACCAGGCTAATGCCAGAGCAGTACCCTAACAATTGGACCACGCACAGCGCGCGATCTTTCCTTCCTCTTCCTTGACTCATCCTCACCGCTTATTTTCACACGCACGCACGCACGCACTATTACACATGTGGCATAATGTATTTTAATTTTTTGGAGCTTGTCTCAGCTGGGGCTGAGCCACGTTGGTGGGAGATACCTGGTTGGGGTAAACCCCACAAGCTGACACTGCTCCACAAGCCGACACTGCCCAGGTGTGGGAATAGTCACCATCTCCCGCATTAAACATGTACTACACCTACGGGACTAATGACATTAGCACTAATCAACCAGGTCGGAATCATCCAATCGAAACAGGCGTTACTGTTGTGGATCAGCCGTAGAAGTCCGAAAGGTTAGAATGCCACCTAGTTATCCTTCGATTTTTCTACAGAGGCCGATGCCATTAGGTCATCAATACACCTTTTGCCTTATAAAATGATTATCTTTAATTAATTCGCGAGCGTTTTTCTCAACGTGGCTCGTAGCCTCAGAAATGCGCTTACCACTGTCAAAAATATTAATTTTGTAAGGCAAGAGGTGTAAGAATGACCTAATCTCAACGGCCACTGTACAAAACTCGGAAGTATAGAACTGCGTCGTAGGGCGGTGGCGCGGTGTCGACGTATCGGCGCCGCCCCGCGCTGTGTTGGCGTTGGCCGTTGGCGTTGGGCGTTGGCGTTTGGCGATGCGACGGTGCGGGGGCGGCGTTGGCCGTGCGTCAGCGCATTCCACAGCCCACTCCGGGCGCCGGCAGCCCCCCTCGCCCCCGTCCCCTCCTCACGCCGCCACGCCCCACTCGTCCCGGCGGCCGCGCCCTCCATCGACGCTTTGCGTATTAGCGGGCCGCGCGCGGGTGCGCTCTGGAAGTTCATTACTTGCATCCAATGCTTGATTTATACATTTTAGGTTTCTAAACGCGCCCCAAATTAATTATTAATTTAAGACAAATTATTGTATACTGTAATATGATTTCACATTTGTAAATCATATTTAATAACAATTGCTAGCAGCGGTACTGCTGGCTCAATGTGAGAATAATAATAATAATAATAATAATAATAATAATAATAGTGATAGTGATGATGATAGTGATAGTGATGATGATGATGATGATGATGATGGTCCCGAACACATGGCCGAGATCGTTAAGGCAGTACTGCCTTAGCGGTCTCGGACCAGAAGGGCGTGTGTTCGAGAGCCGCCTCGGGCGTAGGTGTGTGTGTGTGTGTGTGTGTGTGTGTGTGTGTGTGTGCCGTCCTTTCACCCCTCACTATCATCATCATTTATCTTCCATAGTCCTAGAGCTAACAACCCTGGGAAATAAAAATCCAGCTAAATGCTGACTCTGATAAATTACATTAACCTGCCTCCGACATAATGGTACTGAGCCCCGGTAAATGCAGGGTGCAGTCACGCCTGGTCCAAGTCGGCCTATTCGCGAGCAAATAATAATAATAATAATAATAATAATAATAATAATAATAATAATAATAATAATAATAAACTTTATAATGATACTTTATCTTTTTTACTAATGTTATTATATTCGTCTGAATACATCTGAATTTATGAACTTATACATCTAAATGGAAAATTACTTAATTTTGCGTTTATTTCTTCTATTTTGTTTTGAGGTACCGAAACACCGTTTCGCCAGAAATCAAGCCCTGCTTACATCTACACTAACAGAAGTGTATTCAACGACATGTACTGAAATCGATTCCACAAAAAGTACTTTATGAATAGACACAAAATTTTTACAGGCTCTTCTTCAGTATTGTCGCAGTGTCCTTGCAAGATTTGGTAACGAAAATATATAATTTAAATAATATGTTGGTGGATGCACCAAGTTCATTATTTTTCGCCTGTCGATAAAAGCAAAATTCAGCTCGTTCCCCGAACAACGCCCAATATCCCCGAATTGTTCAGAATCTGGTGGGGAAAAGAGGATATGGTGTTTTACGAATTGCTTCCTCGAGATGTAATCGTTACTGCCTACATTTAAGACAACTTAAGACGACTTAAAAGTCGCAATCCAAGGATATCAACCAAGACGTCGGCGTGAAACAAGGCAACTGCACCAATGCCGCTGCTAAGCGGGCGATCGCCCACAGCCCCGGTAATCAAGAGGCCCGATGATGGGGTTGATGGAGAAAAATTGAAACAGAAATTAAAACTCGAGAAAATAGTTATTGCAATTTTACAAGTCGCGGTACATTAGTCTGATGTTCAATAAAATTTCCAATTAATATTTTACCTTAAATAGTTATAATCATTACGTATAAGGTACAATTCTGAAACATAACGAACGAAGCTATGCTATCATTCCAAGCTTTCATTTTAAGCATTCAAATTTTATCTTCTGAATATTCAAGATACTTTAGTACACATTTTTTAAAGTAATATATATTGGCATATATTTTCATGAAAGTGTTATGACTGAATGAAACTATTCTTTAAAAGATATATCCAAAACCCTTTTCTAGCTTAAACTTTGCAATTTTTGTAATTTGTTGATATAAAATAACTAGTATAGTTACTCGTTACAACTTTCACAATTTTTCAGGGGCGGGAAGGGGACTACATTTCAGCGTTGCCCCGGGCCCAAATTTGTCTAGATCCGGCAATGAACTGCACGATAACGCTCAACCGTAGTCCGCAACCATGGCAGTAGAAACTTTTCAAGAATTGGATTTGGAAGTCATTCCACACCCGGCACCTAATCTTGCTTCCATAGATTTTCACCTTTTCCGCTTTCTATCAAACAATCTTCAAGAAACGTCCTTTCCGGATAAAAATACGCTTCAAACGTGGATTGACGATTTCTGTAACACCATTTACAATATTACTACGACGAGGAATTAAAAATCTATCTCAGTGTCGGCAGTCTGTAGTAGAGAAAGAAGCGAAATATGTTACTGTTGATTAACTTCGCTCTTATGTGTATCTCAAATTTAATTAACTTACGAAAACAAAACATTACGTAGTTATGCACCAACCGCACTGTAAGTATCAGTGTCAATTGTTTCCATTCCTGAAAAATTATATTTCTTGGGGTTGTCTAACTTTGGGTACAGAGTCTTCGGTGGTACAACGAGCTGTTATACCTAACCTTAAATGTTTATCCCTCTTGGTACTTTGGGGGGAAAGTAAATCCAGCTGTCGCATGTTGTAGATTATGCATGTAAAAGATCCTGAAAGAAGCCTGTGAGAAAAATTCAATTTGCATGATTCGTCGCTCGAGTGGCACTTCATTTCCCTGACAGACGCT